GTCACTAACCCGTGAAGAAGCTCTTGTAGTTCCTACCAGCCGTGTGTTGTAGTCCTTAAAAAGTGATTTCTGTGAAAGTAAATCTCTCCCTTTGCTCTGAGCGTTGAGCGTCGTAACTTTGCAGATGTTGTTTATGCTCAAACTGCAACATTACACACTCACTAAAGCTAGAAAAGTGAAATCATAATCAACCCCCCCTTTACACACTTCCTATACACACGTCCTTATATTCCTGCTGGTGTTTTTAGCATGCCAACACACTGCTAATGCACAGCATTTCAAAACACTCCTGGATCTTTCAAACTTTCCTAGAGTTTTCTAATCTTAAACATACACACTTACACCTACACCTGAACACGTGCGAAGACTTTTAACCCGACGAACGAGTCGCATAAACAAACACTCATTTGCTATTACAAAGCAAGCGAATAGGAATGTGCATTTAGCGTCGGCACAGAGCGACAGTGACAGCGCGAGTCCTGATTTAATGAATTACAGGTCTTGAATAGCGGCCGTCTCGGTAAGTGCCTGTCTGGATCCATCAGGGAGGCTAAAACACAGATCCTCACTCAATTAGGACATCAATTACATCCAGCGGCTCTTCCGCGGCCTTTCAGAGCCGTCAATCTCGACACGCGCTTTCTTTAAAAGCTCCGCGAGAGGTGAGAAAGAGCGAGACACATTAAACCAAAGTGAGTTAATGCGAGCGGTGGGCGTCTCCCGACGTGTGTCACACTCAAAAGTGTCTTTCAAAAGTGTCTTTCTGTGCGATTACAGGCAAACCGGTTCCCTGACGGGCTCTCACGCGTGTGTTTGAGGACGCTCGTCGAGGTCGAGGAGTCCGAAGGGATGCTCTTCACCTCCGTTCTCTTTCTTACCCACAATTACCTTCCTCGTCGACTCCGGCCGCTCGAGGGCCACTCGACGTGTGTGATATCTGTGTGTTAACTGAGGGACTCGTGAGTCTGAAGTCCTCACACTCTTCTGTGTCTCCCAAAGGGACTGAAATTAACACTCAACAAGCGCCAAATGCAAGTGAAAAATCGGCATTGGTGTCAAGTAAATAAAGCCAGTTGTACGGTGACTTTCTTTGGAAATGCAACACTGCAAAAAAACATTCTTTCTCAGAATGTTTAGATATTTGTACTGGAAAACAAATTAATGCATGTAAATATACCTAGATGGACTCAATCATTTTATCCTTTAAAACTCATCTTTGATCACCAAAATCACATATTTAAGCGTTTTTTCCTTGAAAAAAAACTTCATGTCTTAAAATATCTTGAATGTAACTCGACACCCTCGCCTCATTTAGTATGCACGGTTCTATGAATATGCAAATGAGCCCCGCCTCCACTCACTCCCTCAGCTCAGAGATCCACTGGTTGGCGATCACACGTTGATCTGATTGGTTACAAGGTCGTTTGTGACGTCAGAAACACCAGCGATTTCAAACCGTGTGTCGACTGTCGATTTTACACATGGTTTGTGTTAAAGCATATTAAAAAATACTATAGACTATTAGATGAGCAGAAATTAAATTATTTTTGCATTTTGCATTTATTACTGTAAAACTGCTTTGAAACAATCTGGATTGTATTATGCAAATATAACATAAATGTAACCGTGATGACATCACAGTTTTCTCCAGAGTGGCTATATATATAAACAAACTAAATTAATAACTTATTTACAACAAAAATGAAGCATCATTGAAGTTACTTAAGCTGGACTGTGACGCTAATTTCTTCTAGAAACAAACTTTGTTACATTATTCTCCTGTAAAGCTGCTCTGAAACACTCTGTGCTGTAAAAAGCGCTGTATAAATAAAGGAGACTTGACCTTTGACCTCTGACCTTTTCACCTTTGCCTGATTGAGCCTGTCATGTAAACGGCGAGAGAATAGATGTTAATCACAGTTCAGTGACGTCACTGCTATCGGTTACATTTTGATTTATATTTGCATTATATTAATTCTTATATAAATAAAGATGATTTCGGCGCTGGAAAGGGGCGGGGCTACAGAAGCTCTATAAGCGCTATAGACACAAACCTGAGCTGACTCGACTATAATCACTACACACACCCTGTAAAGCTGCTATGAAACAATCTGTATTGTATTATGCAAATTTAAGCGGAAGTCAGCTGTGAAAGGGGGCGGGGCTACAGACGGGGCTATAGACTCAAGCCTGACCTGACCCGGCTATATTGAGTATACGCACCCCGTTGGCGGTGCTGACGGCCTGATAGTAGACGCTGTAGCTCTTGTGCGGCAGCAGCGGGGCGTTCCAGTACCCGCTGTAGGTCCGGTTATCCCCGACGGTGAAGGGCTGAGGCGACGGGACGCTTGCGGACGGGAACTCGGCGCTGTAGTAATACCGGGAGTTCAGACCGCTGGCGTTCTGGTAGTGAACCGGCACCGGATAACAGCGGAGGATCTCAGCCTCACCACCTCGAGCTCTTCGTGGACGTTCCTCCTCAACAACCACCTGATACACACTGAGAGAGAGAGAGAGAGAGAGAGAGAGAGAGAGAGAGAGAGAGAGAGAGAGAGAGAGAGAGAGAGAGAGAGAGAGAGAGAGAGAGAGAGAGAGAGAGATACTGCATTAAACACACAAGGAAATCAGCGAGAATGATGCAAGCTGTTTTTGGTAAAATAGAAAAAAATGATCAAAAGTGACATTAAAGACATTGATAATGTTACAACAGATTCTATTTCAAATAAATGCTATTATTTTGAACTTTATATTAGTCAAAAAATCCTGAAAAATAAAATTATTAAACTGTTTTCAACACTGATAATAATCATAAATGTTTCTTGAGCATCAAATCATCATATTAGAGTGATTTCTGAAGGATCATGTTTCACAATTTTTATTGTATTTATGATAAAATAAACACAGCCTTGGTGAGCAGAAAAACATTAAAAAATGTATTTGTATGTTATTGTCATAAAAAAATGCGCAATTTTTTTTTCTCTCCAGAATATAAGACTTCATATCTTCAGTCATTTTGCTTCTTCTCCTGTAAATCTTGATTTAAGAATGTTTTGATATTTGTGTTTGAAAACGAGACAGAAATAGAGAGAAAAAACATGATATTTTTTGCAGTGTGTAAAACACAAACTTACAGCCGACACACACACATCCTCACTGCGGCGCTCAGTTGAATAACGCACATTTAGACACAATATTATCAGATACTTTGTCTATTTTTGCTCCATTAACGAAGATCCAAACGAAGCCACAGAATCCGAATGAACCGAGAGTTTCTACGAGCGACACAGAACTGAATCACTCAGTGTTGAACAACTCAGTCGAGCGAATCATACAACGACTCCGCTTTACTACATTATTGCAGTGCGTTTCACAATACAAATACTATTTCAGTCGCTCACTTCAAAACTAACTCGCAATTTCTTTGTAATTATTTGTTAGCAATTTCTGAGTGAACGTTTTTTTTACTGTATAAAGACATTTTACCAAACTAATATGACTTATTCTGCTTTAGCTTTCAAATTCAGTGACGGCCTCTCTTTATAAAGTCATTTTGAATCTTGATTTATGAATGTTTAGATGTTAGATGTTAGTGCTGTTAACACTGAGGAGGAACATCATGTTTTTGCACTGATATATAACATGCTTCTGTTAGAAAATAAGGATGTGTTTGCAGAAACTTATTGACAAATCCGTGGCATTGGATCTATAACCATATTCATCAGGATTCTCCATCTCTCCTTCCTTTCATCTGTGGCTCTCAGACTTTATAAGAGGCTTCTATCATGAGCACCTTCTCCAGATCCAATATTCCCCACAGCAGAGGAACAGGAGCCCCGGCGCGGCTTCATAAATTAGCACTGCCACAACACACAACAACGCCCATGTTTGCCTTTTAATCATTTATGGACTTAAAGGGCAAGCATCCTCTCACGCTCCCTTCATAAACTCCCTGTGTCAGTTTTTGGGGAAGGGCCGGCGGAGCCCCGGAGCGCCAGGAGACTGCGGTAACGCCACGCATCGATGCTAAGTGACCATGACAAAGAACAGGGATGTAAACAGAGCCTGGTTTCATACACTTCACACACACACACACGATTAACTGGAATCTCCAGCCGCTGGTATTTCGAGACGGCAGAAAGAGAGCGGCTAGCGGCTAGCGCAACGAATGTTGACTGATGCTAATCTGACCTTTGGGTTTCTAATCTGTAATAAAGTCTGCGGTTGCATGCAAAAGGTTATCTGTGAATATAAAAACTGGATTTATAAATATACTGTAGTTAATGAAATTACAAACCTGCACACGGCCTGTGCTTTCCTGTGGGTCCTCGCTCAAGTCAGCTTTATTTATATAGCGCTTTTTACAATACAATACTCCATCCCCCCATATATCCATCCATCCATCCATCCATCCATCCATCCATCCATCCATCCATCCATCCATCCATCCCCCCATATATCCATCCATCCATCCATCCCCCCATTTATCCATCCATCCACCCATCCCCCCATATATCCATCCATCCATCCATCCACCCATCCCCCCATATATCCATCCATCCATCCATCCCCCCATATATCCATCCATCCATCCATCCCCCCATATATCCATCCATCCATCCATCCACCCATATATCCATCCATCCATCCATCCATCCATCCATCCACCAATCCATCCATCCATCAATCCATCCATCCATACCTAAATATCAATCTATCCATCCATCCATCCATCCATCCATCCCCCCATATATCCATCCATCTATCCATCCATCCACCAATCCATCCATCCATCAATCCATCCATACATACCTAAATATCCATCCATCCATCCATACCTAAATATCCATCCATCCATCCATACCTAAATATCCATCCATCCATCCATACCTAAATATCCATCCATCCATCCATACCTAAATATCCATCCATCCATACCTAAATATCCATCCATCCATCCATACCTAAATATCCATCCATCCATCCATACCTAATATCCATCCATCCATCCATCCATACCTAAATATCCATCCATCCATACCTAAATATCCATCCATCCATCCATACCTAAATATCCATCCATCCATACCTAAATATCCATCCATCCATCCATCCATCCATACCTAAATATCAATCTATCCATCCATCCACCCATATATCCATCCATACCTAAATATCCATCCATCCACCCATATATCCATCCATCCACCCATATATCCATCCATCCATCCATACCTAAATATCCATCCATCCACCCATATATCCATCCATCCATCCATCCATACCTAAATATCCATCCATACATCCATATATCCATCCATCCATCCATACCTAAATATCCATCCATCCATCCCCCATATATCCATCCATCATCCATCCATCCACCCATATATCCATCCATCCATCCATCCATCCATACCTAAATATCCATCCATCCATCCATCCATCCCCCATATATCCATCCATCCATCCATCCATCCCCCCATATATCCATCCATCCATCCATCCATCCATCCATCCATCCCCCCATATTTCCATCCATCCATCCATCCCCCCATATATCCATCCATCCATCCATCCCCCATATATCCATCCATCCATCCCCCCATATATCCATCCATCCATCCATCCATCCATCCATCCATCCATACCTAAATATCCATCCATCCATCCATATATCCATCCATACATCCATACCTAAATATCCATCCATCCATCCATCCCCCATATATCCATCCATCCATCCATCCACCCATATATCCATCCATACCCATATATCCATCCATACATCCATACCTAAATATCCATCCATCCATCCATCCCCCATATATCCATCCATCCATCCATCCACCCATATATCCATCCATACCTAAATATCCATCCATCCATCCATATATCCATCCATCCATCCATACCTAAATATCCATCCATCCATCCATTCCCCATATATCTATCCATCCCCCCATATATCCATCCATCCATCCATCCCCCCATATATCCATCCATCCATCCATCCATCCCCCCATATATCCATCCATCCATCCATCCATCCCCCCATATATCCATCCATCCATCCATCCATCCACCCATTTATCCATCCATCCATCCCCCCATCTATTCATCCATCCATACCTAAATATCCATCCATCAATCCATACCTAAATATCAATCTATCCACCCATATATCCATCCATCCATCCATCCATCCATCCATACCTAAATATCAATCCATCCATCCATCCATCCATCCATCCATCCATCCATCCATCCATACCTAAATATCAATCTATCATCCATCCATCCATCCCCCCATATATCCATCCATCCATCCATACCTAAATATCAATCAATCCATCCATCCATCCATCCATACCTAAATATCAATCAATCCATCCATCCATCCATCCATCCATCCATACCTAAATATCAATCAATCCATCCATCCATCCATCCATCTATAACTAAATATTACTCCATCCATCTATCCATCCATCTATACATCCATCCATCCATCCATCCATCCATCCATCCATCTATACCTAAATATCTATCCATCCATCCATCCATCCATCCATCTATACCTAAATATCAATCCATCATCAATATAAAATCCATCCATCAATCTTTCCATCTATACCTAAATATCAATCCACCCATAAATATCAATCCATCCACCTATCCATCCATCCATCCATCCATACCAAAATATCAATCCATTCATCTGTCCATCCATACTTAAATATCAATACATCCATCGCACAAAAGTGTCAGAGGGAGTGGCCTGTGGATCTTTAACCAATCAGATTACTAGCCAATCACACTCAGTCTTTGCCTGTCAATCATTTTGCACATTTGTGAGGGTTTGAAATGTAATATACAGTCAAAGAGTCATGGATGCCTCGAACATCAAAAAGGTGCATCAACAAAACTCTCTCTCTCTCTCTCTCTCTCTCTCTCTCTCTCTCTCTCTCTCTCTCTCTCTCTCTCTCTCTCTCTCTCTCTCTCCTTCAGTTTGAGGCGTCAGTTTCAGTTACGTCTGATATGTGTGAAATAGTCAGTGCAGAAATAAATTCTATGACACTCTTTGAATGATCTGCTCTGCTGCATGATAATACATTACCACCCTACGGCATGCTGGGTAAAGGTGATCTCTGCCAGCGCTTCAGTTTGGAGATGAAATATCATGTGATGAATTATTTAAGCCAATGAGAGACAGTGAAGCTGCAAGGGGAAGATAATTAGCACCTGATCTCACTCTGAGGTCAAAGTTCAGAGGTCAAAGAGCAAATCACGGCCTCACTGCAGGTCTATCCTGATTACAGATGAACGAGAGAGAGAGAGAGAGAGAGAGATGTGTGTGTAAAATCCACTAACACTCTGGAAATATAAAACTTGATAACACACTAACAGAAATAATGAGATTTAAAAGCATATGGAAATATAATATGAACAAGTGAAGTATAACGAAAAATGGCTCTGTTTAGCCCTTGTCTCTATGAAGAT